TATATATATACATATATATTTGTCTTACTATGAACAACGCCTTCCAGGAGGGAGCCGTAGAGGCTGAGAGGGGGTGTACCCAGTTGGAGTGTATATATTATGTTATATATATATACGTTATATATATATATATATATATATATATATTAATATATATATACTTGAGTGTAATTGAGGTGTATGCACACTGCACTACAAATCAAAAGAAATATCTTAAAGAGGGTTGGCAGCAGCGTCAGGAGACACTTAAGCAAAAAAAACAAACAAATCAGAGGCCTCTGACTGCCAGGTGTCTCCTCAGCAGCTCAGGCCGACACTGTCTCTTCTAAATATAAACAAAGAAGTGTCTCCTTTGTTATGAACAAAGAAGTGTCTCCTTTGTTATGAACAAAGAGCTGTGTCTTAAACATAAACAAAGAGCTGTCCCCTCCTGTTTATTTACAAGTGTCTCCTATTGTTAATTTAAAAGCATCTCCTCCTCGTTGTTTATTAAGTGTCTCCGTATGTTTATATGAAAGGATCTCGTATCTAATACTACTTACCACTGATAATAATAATAATAATAATATAATAATAATAACAATAATAATAATAATAATGATATTAATAATAATAAAGAGGATCTGCTCTGTTGTTGGCTTGGTGTCTCCTTTCTAAGTCAGGTGTCTCCTTTTGCATATTGATAGTCTGCTTGAGTTAGGAGTTATAATATAAACAAAATGAAGGGTCCCCTCTATATAATATAAACTGTCTCTGTTGTAATATAATATACTGTCTCTGTTGTAATATAATATTAAGGGTCTCCTCTTTATAATATATATGCAGCTTACAGATACAAACTAACTTGTGTTTTAAGACAAACAAAAGTGTCTCCTTTCGTTCATTAACTGTCTCCTTGCTGCTTCAGTCTCCTCTAAATATAATAGAGTCTCTCCTCTATATAATAAAGGAGACACACTACATATATATATATATATATATATTATTAAACTGTCTCCTCTATATAATAAAGGAGACTCTATATATAGTAATAAACTGTCTCCTTGAGAGCAAACAAAATATCTCTGTATGAATAATATAAAATGTCTCTGCTAAGCTACGCAGAGTGTCTCCACCTCTTATAAATAAATAAAAGGAAGTGTCTCCTTTACATTATATAATATACATATATATATTATCTAGTATATATTACATATTACGTATTATATACTATATATTATATATTATATATAATATATTATATATTGTATATTTAATTATATTATATAAAGTGTCTCATTTGCATTAATTATAGCCTCTCCTCCTTACATCAAAATAAACTGTCTCCTTTTCTATTGGCTGTCTCCTTGACGTTGCAGTCTCCTTTAAATAAAAGAAGGCGTCTTGAAGCAAAGTAAGCTGTCTCCTTTTTATTTTAATTTTTTTTAGCTGTCTCTTTTTCATTTGAGTGTCTTTAATGCTGTCTCCTTTTAATTTGAATGTCTTTTAAGCTGTCTCCTCTTCGTTTTCATATCTTTTAAGCTGTCTCCTTTTAATTTTAATGCCTTTTAAGCTGTCTCCTTTTACTTTTAATGTCTTTTAAGCTGTCTCCGTTTTATACGCTGTCTCCTTTTGTCTACAGCGCAACATCAAAATTGACCTCCCCATAGCAAAGCTGTTCTCGTTTTGCTGCTAGGGCCCTTCGTCTTGCTAGCTGCTGCTGTCTCCTTTTTGCTGCTGCTGCTGCAGCCTGTAGCCTTTGTGCAGTCTTCACTCGGTTGGCGAGGTAGCTGATGCTGGTGCTGCTGCTGCTGTTGCTGCTGTTGCTGCTGTTGCTGTCTGATAGCTGCACGTCGCTGTTGCTGGTGCTGGTTCCTCTGCTGCTGTTGGTGCTGCAGCAGCAGCGATCGTGCCCACCAGCAGCACCCATGCTGCTTCTGTCTCTGCTGCAGCGTCTCTCTGTCTCCTGTCTCCTCCTGCTTGTCGTTTGCCTCTTCAGCTTTGCTACAGCACATATACACTCGGGGACAGACTGCTGCAGCAGCTGTCTCTCTCTTGTCATAGGCCCTTCAGGTGTCTCTTCTTGTGTCTCTTCTGCTGTATACGAAGAGCCGCAGCAGGTTGCTGCGCTGCTGCAGCGCGAAGGCAGACTCGTGCGTCTCTTTCCCAGCTTCTGCTGCTGCTGCTGCTTCTGCTGCTGCTGTAGGCGCTGCTGCTTCTGCTGCTGCTGCTCACGGCGCTGCAGCGCAGCAGCAGCAGCAGCACGTGCTTCAGGGTTCAAGCCAACGTCTACAATCCACTCAATAGAGCGGTTGAGGCGGAGAGGCATTTCAAAGCCTTGCGAATGAGGGTTTGCTGCTGCTGCTGCTTCTTCTTGTTCCTCATCCTGCTGCTGCAGTGCCTGCTGCTGAGCCACAGCAGCAGCAGCAGCGGCAGCAGGGGGCCTTCTCGCCCCATGCAAGTCTTGCGTCTCTTCATCTCCCCAAGAGACACAATTCCTATCCTGCTGCAGCTGCTCCTGCTGGAGCAACTGCTGTAGCTGCTGCTGCTGCAGCTGTTGCTGCAGCTGCGCCTGCTGTTGACGCAGCTGCTGCTGCTGCTGCAGCTGCAGGTTATGTTCATCAGCAAGGCGTTGGCGGTGCAGCTGCAACAGCCGCAGCTGCTGCTGCTGGTGTGCTGCGATCTCCTCCTCAATTGTCTGTGGAAGCCGTCTGCGCCGCTGCTGCTGCTGCTGCTGCTGCTGCTGCAGTGTCTCCTCATCTTGGCTTTGTCTCTTGAGAGCAGAAACCTTCCTCCCCAGCTGTCTAGCAGCAGGAACTATCCGGGTCTTCATTTGTTTGTTTGCTGCAACACAAACAACAACAGCAGCTTTCTTACTAACACAAAGCCCCTTTCTGCATATCCGCAGCAGCGCGGCGCTGCTGCGGGAGACGCCGCCTGCTGCTGCTGCTGCTGCTGCTGCAGCTGCAGCTGCAGCTGCAGCTCCTCTGCTCCCGCTCCGACGAAGCTGAGCAGCAGCTTCCTGCTGCTGCTGCTCCTGCTGCTGCACCCATTGAGTATACCGCTGCTGCCAGTCTCTATGCTCTTCCTGCCAGCTAAATGCTGCCTGCATTAACTCAAAAGACAGCGCTGGAGATGCGGGGATCGTCTCCTCCCCTTCGCTCCCAGGCTCAGGGTAGGAAGTGCTGTAGAGAGCAGTAGACGCTCCCCTGCGTGCAGCACCAGATGCTGCTGCTGCTGCTGCTGCTGCTGCTGCTGCAGGCAATGGTGTTGCTGCAGCCATCGATGTTCCGCTGTCTTGAGGGAGAAAAGGGTAAGGCTCCTCAAGGTTGGAGTATAGTCTAGAGCGACGAAGGCCAGCCGGCATTGCTGCTGCTGCTGCTGCTGTTGTTGCTGTTGCTGCTGTTGCTGCTGCTGCTTTTGCTGCTGCTGGGGTTGCCTCGCGAGTCCACCCCTGCTGCTGCTGCAGGAAGCCTGAGGCAAAGGAGACACTTTGCTGAAGGAGAAGAAGAGACAGCGACGGAGAATAAATAAAGCAGTGTGCAGAGTCGTGTCAAGGCGTATGTTGCTGCTGCTGCTGCTGCGCTGCTGCTGCTGCTGCAGCTGCTGCAGCTCGATAGACAGCCAGGCTAAGAGGAGCAGCAGGCTGCGCAGGTACGCAGGCGTTTGAGTTGTTGTCTGGTGCAAATACAAAGAAAAGGAAGAAATACAACGAAATTTGTTTTAAAACAAACAAACAAACGAACAAAACATCAAACAGACAAACACGCAGCTGCCGATACACCCCGGCGCTGCCGCTATCGAGATGTGCAGCGGTCGGAGCTGCCAATACACCCGAAGGTGTATACGTCGATTCAGCGCAGGAGTTGAGCAAAATAGCACTAAAAACCTTTTTTAATGCAATTTTTAATTTTTTATTCAAATTTAAAAACAAATTTTTATCATTTTCATCGTTTATTAGCCAAAATCAACCTCTGTGCTCTACAGGACAGCTGATCCCCGGGCCTGACCAGCGATACACCGCGCGCGCGAGGGTGTGGTTGCTGCTGCTGTTGCTGCTAATGTCTAATGCATTCGTGTTTGAATTTTTTGTTTAATTATTACAGAAAATTAAATATTATATTTTTAAAGGGCTTAAATATTCATTAATTTCAATAAAACTCTATAAACGGCTGATCCCTTCAACCGCGACGCCGGCAGCAGCGGTCCGCTGCCTCGGTATATGTACTGAGGTGTCTATACACCTGGGCGGTGGCTCTCCTTCGCCTTTGTTTGCGTATCTTATTGCTGTCTCCTTTTGTTGGTTTGTTGCAGTCTTTCTGAAGTCCTTTCTTGCTGCGTCTGCTTCTTCCCCCCGAAGCAGGGCCCCCGCCTGTCTCCTTCTTTGGCTGCTGCAGTTTTGCTGCAGCTGGCTATCTGTTTGTCTCTCCTGCTGCTGTTCTTTACCATCTAGCTTGACGTTCAGGCATGAATGCATGTGCATGCATGAGCATGCATGCAGATGCATGCATTGAGGCAGCCCCTGCCTTAGGTGAGGGAGGGGTCTCACTTACTTGTGCTGGGGCCCCCAGAAGCCGCCAATGGGGGGCCCCCCTCCTGCTGCACGTTCAGCAGGGCCTGTGCAGTCTCTTATTTACTCATTAGAGAACAAAGGAGGCTCCCGCCTGCTGCAAAGCGCAGTCAGCCGCCAGCAGCGTAGCCGCTACGATCGTCTCGTAGGTTTCCTTGCTGGTCAGGGGAGGCCCCAGGTGTCTCCTTTTGGGCCCCCCAACGAGCAGCAGCTGCTGCAGCAGCAACAGCAGCTTGTTAGGGAGTTGTTGCGGGCCCCTTCTGCTGCTTCTGCTTCTGCTGCTTCTGCAGCTTCAGCAGCACCGAAGGGGGAGGAGCAGAAGCCTACAGACACGCACTGTCAGCCGTCCTCCTCTTCTTCTAAACCCTCTTTAGGCTATCTGTTTGCTTTATTGCGACAGCCTCTAACATTATCGCTGCGTCAGGGGGCCTCAGGGGGGCCCCTCCTGAGGGTCCCCCTTGGAGAAGACTCACTGGGGAGACACCGGAAGCGGAGACACCGAGAAGATGTGTGTCTCTGTTTACTCGAGATAGCTTCTCTTGACTTAAGGCTGCGTCTGTCTCTGTTGCAGAGTGCCTTAAAGACCTGGGATCGACGATCCCGGATCTACAAGGGAAGAGACATCGCCCTCAAAGGGCATCAATACCAGCAGCGCGCAGCAGCAACTGAAGAGCTCCACCCCACAGCAGCAGCAGCAGCAACAACAACAACAGCAGCAGCCATTGAGGGCCCTTTGGGACCTGGGGATCGTCTCCTCCTCCCCACAAAGGCGCCTGCTCAGGAGACCCGGAAGGGAGACTGGCTGATTGCGCTGTCTGTTGAGGTGTCTCCTCAGGGTGGTGCTGCTGCAGCTGTCCCCTTAAAGGCAGCAGAGAAGCTGCTGCAGTCTCTACCAGCAGCAAACGAGACAGTTTGCTGCGTATGGAGGGGAGCACGAACGCGAATAAAGAGCGTTGTTGCTGCAGCAGAAAAAGGCTTGCTGCTGCTGCCTGATGCAGCAACAGAGGAGACACCTCTCTCCTCAGCAGCACGTGGGCCCCTAGGGCCCCCAGGGCCCCCAGGGAGGAGAAAGGAGACAGTAAAGGAACCCGTCTTATGTACTTGGAAGCCGGAGGTAGCGTTCTGCTGCGTAGATGGTGTTGAACCCGTTGCAGTAGCAAACGAAGAGACATATGTTGACACCTCTAATCCTGATAATCTGCTGCTGCAGCTGCCTCTACAGTCTCTCTCAGCCCTTCGGGTGTATGTGCCACTGCGAGTCAAACGCGGTGCACCCCCAGCTGTCTCCTCTCTCCTTGTTAAGCTGCGCCTCTCCTGCAGATCTGCTGCAGTTCCTCCTGCTCCTGCTCCTTCTCCTGCAGCAGAAGCAGCAGCAGCAGCAGCAGCAGCAGCAGCAGCAGGAACGGAGACAGCGGAAAGTGTCTCTCGCTGGCTGCCTCTAGCTGATGGTTTGTTTACTCTATGCGAGCAAAAGGCCCTAGGCCTTGTGCAGCTGTCTCCTCCTATTAAAAGCAACCCCACACAAAGACGCACCTCACACCGCCATCTCGGCTTCGCGGGGATCGCCAGGATCGACGTCTCCACCGCTGGGATCGTCTACTCCGCCGACCCCACACCTCTCCAACACCATCATGACAGCAGCATCACAGAAGCACACTTGAAGCACATGCACATGAAGCAGCAACTGCACCTGAAGCAGCAGCAGTTGCAGCACCATCGACACACACACACACACCAAGTGCGGCACCACCACCACCAGCAGCAACAGCAGCAGCAGCAGCAGCAACAGCAAACGCGGGAGAAACAACTGCAGCAAACGCAAGAGCAGCAACAACAGAAACAAGATCAACAACAACAGGAGCAACAACTACCAGAGCCACAAAAACACCAAGAGCAACAGCAGCAGAAGCAGGAGCAGCAGCAGCAACAACAACAACAGCAACAACAACAAAAGCAAGAGCAACAAGAGCAGCAACAGCAGCAGCCGCAGCAGCCGCAGCAGAAGCCTCAGGAGCAGCAGCAGCAGCAGCAGCAGCAGCAGGAGCAGCAACAGCAACAGCAGCAGCAGCAGCAACAGCAGCAGCAACAACAACAACAACAGCAAGAACAGCAGCAGCAGCAGCAGGAGCAACTCGCTGCTGAGGCTTCGGCCCCAACTTCTGCTCCCGAGATCTTTCAGCTGGGGGCTGTGGGCCCCTCTCCTGCTGCTGATCGTGCTGCTGCTGTTGCTGCTGCTGCTGCTGCTGCTGTGGCAAGTTCCACAGTCTCTCGGTCTCTTAACAACAATGCCTTTTCGCCCGCTCTGAGGCACCAGCTGCAGCCGGCACAGCAGCAGCAGCAGCAGCAGCAGCAAGGAGCAGCAGCAGCGAACATCCCACCACCCTACAGGGTGGTTTTTCGCTTGAACCGTCCCCAGCAGCTGCAGCAGCAACAGCTGCTGCAGCAGCAGCAGCAGCAGCATATGCCGTTTCCTACAGTGCCTGCACCCGTCAGGGTCTTCTTCCGTTTAGGTGCTAATCCCCAGCAACAGCAGCAGCAGCTGCAGCAGCAGCAGCTGCAGCAACTGCAACAGCAACAGCTGATGTACCTCCCAGGGGGGAATCAAGAACTCCATCAGCAGCAGCAGCAGCAACAACAGCAGCAGCAGCAGCTGGGCTGGAAGACGTCGCCTGTAAGCTATGCATGCGCTGGGGGCTCGCTGCAGCGGCTTGAGGAGCTGCTGCTGCTGCTGCAGCAGCAGCCTAGCACTTTGCATTCAACGGGTCTTGTATGGAGACGCGAAAGGAGACAGTTTCCTGCCTCTGTTGAGGAGTTGCTGCTGCAGCTGTCACCTTTAAAAATACTCAAGACAGACAGAGCCCGCACCCTTACTCTTGTCTCTCTCAACCACCCCCCTCCATCTGCTGCTGCTTCTGCTGCTACACCTGCTGCTGGTACTGCTGCTTCACCTG